TCTGTTGTGAATCTCTTCACCCATCAAGGTTATTTTGTGGCACCTGCCACTAATTGGTTGATTATTCTTTTGAATTATCTGATGGGTATGAGGAGGCGTCTCTTTTTTACATTCATTTGTTTGGTATATATAAATGTAATGTCCTGACCTGTACTTCATGGCTATGACTAAGGCTTGTTGATGAAGCGCGTAGGCATTTTATATGCACATTTTACTTGCGCATCTGTGCTGAGAAGACACACAGAGCCAGAGCACCAACATTCCACCTCAGTGGGGATTATCTCTGGGCGTAGCACCAACTTGTTCACCCTGGCTAGATAGTTGCCTTCAAGAGTGCTCCAAGGGAAGGTCTCACCACTAAAAGACTTTTTCTTTTAATCTAGCACCAACTTTCCAGCACCACCTTGAACCGCTCATGTCCTCTGCTTTGCCTCCCCAAGAGGAAATTGTGCATCTTGGCCACTCACAACTGTCCCAGGAAGAAAGGGACATCAGTGTCAACCAGGGGCGGACTGACAACTCATGGGGCCCCCGGGCAATAGGGGATCATGGGGCCCCTGTGTCCTTGCCCAAACTCAAAAAGTCTATGAAAATGGTAACATGGGGCCCCCTACTGACCCCGGGCCCTCGGGCAGTGCCCAAGTTTCCAAATGGTCAGTCTGCCCCTGGTGTCAACATCCTTGTATTTAGTGTAGACAAAAATTACACTTTATTTAGGCATGGTCCCCAGAGTTTCCCCAGAGGAAACATCTAGTATGTCAAAACAAAATAAAAGTTTTTTTTACATGCGTTGCCCGTCTATGTGTTCCTTGCTGTAAAAGCCAGTTATAGACTGGGGAAGTGGCCATTTTTTTAAACATCTAGCATGCCTGGAAGGGGGCTTGTTGAACCACTTCTTCTCATCCCTTGTTCCAACATCCCACGATTTATGTGCAGCTGCTTCTTGACCAGTACACTATCCCCATGAAAGTCTTTCAACTACACTGATGCTGGATCCATATGCCTCACTAAGAGCATGCCTACCAAGTTTCTTCCTTTTACTATCTCAAAGACTACCTACAGATGCCATGTCTGTTCTGTTTTGGAATGTCTATGTTAAAATGGATTCTATAAACAACTCCTCATACTAGAATACAGGCAGTGTTATTGTCCACTGTTTGTGTATATATACCAATGTTCTCAGTAATTATTCTGAAAAATTGTTATTAAAAAAATTCTTCAATGAAGAATTCAGTACATGCTCCAGTTCCAAGTATTCTCCAGAGGTCCTTGTCTCAGAAGAGGAGGAGCATACAGTACATGGTATATTAGACCAGTTCATGAAAGGGAGATATCATTATCTACCAACAGACAAAGCGTTATTTGACCCAGTTGCGAGAGTAAAGGGTCCATCTCTGTTGAGTGTGGCCAAAAAAGGGGGTCACGGATTGAAGAGCACTTTAAAGAGCACCAGTCACTATTGGTATTTTTGGAGCAGGGAGCACTTTAAAAAGACATACAGAGTATATATATATATATATATATATATATATATACACACATACATACACATATACATTCCACGGGGGACTGTGAATGTATGTTATTTGGGCACAGAGTACTTTCAACTAATCATGTTTACATCACATGTATTGAAAGTTTATTTGGACACTTTGGATATTGTTTATATATATTTTTTGGGATACTTGGGATCATTTTTGTACACTGTTGAGCACTGTTTAAAAAAAAAAAAATTCTGAGTAATAGTGATATGCGCTTGAACCGCTGCACCAGTTCTGACACTATTTTAATTTGTATGGGAATAGCCATAGCGCAGTTCATTCATGGTTATAAACAACAGATATACAGTAGTTAAAGATCCAGGCTAAACAAGCACTGTCTAAGCTCAAGAGATGTGTATTTTTACTTCAATCTTAGTGTCATTTGTGCTTTTGAGACTTGTGCAGAAATTAGCCATGTACGCTTCTTTTTCTTATGAATCAAAATTCAGATAAAATGTTCGTTATTTGTGAGGTATCCAAAACTCCAAATCACAATAGTAACACATTTGAACAAATCTGAAATAAATTATAACAAAAATAATGTATTTTCGTATGCATTAATTTCATTTGTTTGCAACTTCAGCGGGTTTTGTGAGTTCAATAATGTGCCACACTCTGTATTGTTATGCTTAGCCAAAGCCAAAGTCGCAAAACATCAAAGTTGCTTTGAAGTCATATCAAAGTCACAAGCAAGTTACATCGAAGTCACAAGCAAGTTGCATCGACATTGCAAGCAAGTCGCCAAAATGACATAACAGCATAAGCAAGAATCCTTCTCTGTTGCATGCTGGCAGTGGACATGCTTTTCTGCTCAGGCTGTGGCAGCTTTATACAGAACACTAACTGTAAGACTTTGCACACCTTTTGTTTTGATACACCTGAAATGTGTTTAGCTGGTTTAAACTTAAAATTCAGTTGAGCTTTAATTTCTATATAAATCCTTTAATGTAGTATTACATGGGCTTCTCACCCTGTGTGTTGGATGTTTAATTTATTTCACACAATGGGGCTTGCAGCAAGAGAAGGGAGGCTTCACCTAATGCAGCTGAAGGTATAAGACTATGATGGTTAAGCTAGAGATGGATAGTTTTGCTGGGTAATCTCATATCTGGTGTCACAATGAAGTACAAGAAGCCAAATGATGATTCAGCTGAGTGTCCACTCTTTTCATATTTACCACTTTTAGTTAAACTAAGGGGCTGATTTGTAACGGAGAGCAGATATTGCTTTCTGTTGTACTCTGTGAGGTTAAGCTCATTCATAAAATTGGGGCTTTGTTATGGGGTCTGCAGTACTTAAAGATGACCATACATGGATAAAAATTCAGCAGGTTCAGAAGGGGACAGCCAAGGTTTGATCCATGTATGGGAAGGCTGATTGTACCCAAAGTGGTTCATCAGCCTGTTAGATTTTCTGATATTTGATTGGTGCCAGCAGCTATAGTTGCTAGCAGTAGCCATTGTGTTCTCCCTGCCAGGAAGGCACCCCCCCCCCCCCCCGCCACAGGCAGAACACAATAGCGCTGCAGGAGGCATTCACCTATCAACACTGGCTTTGTTGATGAGGGAATTGAGCAATTTTCTTTCCTTTCTCCTGTGGAAGGAAAATTGAGTAATCTATGGGCTGCTTAAGACAGCAGAGAGAACTTCATAATTGAAAGAGAGCTGATTATGCAACTTTGACAGGTCACATGACTGGGCTTTCCTCCCATTTTTTCTTTGCAACAGCTTTCATTTCTGTTAAAAAAACAACTAAAATCTGGTGCAATAAAAGAATGTGGCGGAAACCCTTCTTAAAAATTGTCAAATGCCACCTAAAATTAGAAGGGAGTAGGGGAAGATTTTGCCTTTCATCTCTTTTTTAAAAAAAGTGTCTATATTGCCAAGGTTCAGCCATAGCATTGCAATTGTAAGTATACTCCTTTAAAAAAAACTGCACACTATCCAATCTAAATACATTTTTAAACAGAACAAATGTACATGCAATTACAGAAACCTCTGCATTTTTTTGTCATAAATACAACCCATAGGTGTTAATTTACTAAAACTGGAGAGTGCAAAATCTGGTTCAGCTGTGATTGGCAGCTAATCAGCTGGACCAGCTGACTGGTTTCTCTACAGAGCTGCACCCGATTTTGCACATCTTCAGTTTTAGTAAATTGACACCATAGTGTCATTGTATTAAAGGATAAGTTCACCTTTAACAAAAAAAATACATTTTCATTCCTTGATAAAACCTGTCTTGTCTATCCCTTTGAGTTTTTGGCCTAATAAAAATGACTATTGTCTCTGAATTTTTACACTTCATCATTTTTTTTTGTTAATAATAAAAATATGCCACATCTCCCCATCTTAAATTGTGGACTAATAATAACATACCGTGCATAAACTGTAAAATATTTCTAGCTATTATTTCTAAAATAATACACTGTAGTTTTTATTTCATGGTATAGCTTGCCTCATCTTCCCCTCTTACATTTCGGCCTAATCAAGCTGCTTACATAATGTGCAGCGACTACACAATATTTGCAGGTCTGCTCTCTGAAATATTACATTCTAATTTGAATCTGTTATTAAAAAACTTGCCTCATCTCTCCCTCTTGCATTGCAGCCTACTCAAGCTGTTTACAAACTCTTCAGCTACTGTACTAAATGAGTAACTATTGTCTCTGAAACAATACACTAATTTTTTTTATTTCAGGATAACATTTTCCTTATATCTTGAATGTGGAGTTTTTGACATGTTTTTGTCACTCTCTGATAACATTTTATTAAACATTTAGGACAGTACAACGGGGCAGTATGAATACAATGAAAAACAATACTATGAATCTGTTTTGCCACTGGCAAACTGGTATGAAGTTGAGGGCTTTAACTATATTTTTAGGAGTACACTTTCCTATAGCTTTTAGATCTGTTGTGGCTGCTATTTTTAGCTGCTAGCTGTCAGAGTTGCAAAATAGGCAATACCATAATGAATATAAATGCAAAATAATAATTGATGTGTTACTTGACCGTTTTCAACACTGACCACTTAATGCAAGTTTAACAGCCTCCCGCCCCCCATATATGGTAATGACAGGTGCAAGGCGGTTCTCTCATTCTGGGAGGACGTCATAGAACGTCCTCCCATTCTAACCGCACACGCGTGGCTCTGGGAGCGCGCAGCGCGGTGATCGGTGGTGTGCCGTGTCCCTCAGACACAGCTGATCACCGATCAATGGAAAAAGCTGAAGATGTTGGCTCGGTCCTGTGATTAGCTGTGCCCAATCACAGCTGATCACATGTAAATAGGGAAATGCCTAATAGGTTATCAGCAGTTCTCTCCTCACAAGCTGTCACTCTGACAGCTCGAGAGGAAAGGAGAGCCAGTAATCGGCTTTACTCAGAGGGGACATGTGCACTGATCATCAGGGCACTGATGATCAGTGTACCCTGATGATCTGTGTAGCCCCAGCAGTGCCACCTGTCAGTGTCCATGAGTGACAGCTATCAGTGCTCATCAATGCCACCTGCCTGTGCCCATCAGTGCCACATCAATGCCACATATCAGTGCCTACCAGTGCATATCAATGCCACATATCAGTGCCCATCTGATCTGCCTTTCAGTGTGACCTATCAGTGCCAGTCAGTGCCACCTATCAATGCCATTCAATGCTACCTATCAGTGCTGCCAATCAGTGCCGCCTATCAGTGCTGCCTATCAGTGTGCATCAGTGCCACCTATCAGTGCCTCCCAGTGCTGCCTATCAGTGCCACCTAACAGTGCCAGTCAGTGCCACCTAACAGTGCCAGTCGGTGCTGCCTAACAGTGCCAGTCAGTGCTGCCTATCAGTGCCGCCTATCAGTGCCATATATGAGTGCTGCCTTTCATTGCCCATCAGTGATGCCTGTCAATGCCCATCAGTGTCCATCAGTGCAGCCTATCAGTGCCCATCACTGCAGCCTCATTAGCGCACGTCAGCGAAGGAAAAAAATCACTTATTTACAAAATTTTATAACAAAAACTAAGAAAAAACTTTTTTTTCTCAAAATTTTCAGTGGTTTTTGGTTTGTTTAGCAAAAAATAAAAAACACAGAGGTGATTAAATATCACCAAAAGAAAGCTCTATCTGTCTCAAAAAATGATACAAATTTCATATGGGTACAGTGTTGCATGACCGAGCAATTGTCATTCAAAGTGTGACAGCACTGAAAGCTGAAAATTGGCCTGGGCAGGAAGGGGATTTAAGTGCCCTGTAGGCGAGTAGTTACAGAAATTCATCTTTGTGAAAAAACTAATAACTGCACATATTCTGCAGCTAAAAAATGTACATTTATTATGTTTGCACAGAAGCCTGCAAAGCAGTAGATTGCGAGTGCAATGTCAAGCTCCTGCACACACTACCTGCAGTTTTTGTTGCCCATACCTTTGTACAGGCTTTCCATTGCAGAGTTGTAGGTAGTGTTAATAGACTACGAGCATGCTGATCAACACACTTGAAGTCCATTGAAACTGCAAGTCCATCTGCTGTCATTTTAAATAAGTGATTTTTCTCCTTCACTGATGTGCGCTAATGAGGCTGCAGTGATGGGCACTGATAGGCTGCACTGATGAACGCTGATAGGTGGCATTGATGAGCACTGATGAGGAGGCACTGGTAGGTGGCACTGATGGGCATTGACAGGCATCACTGATGGGCACTGAAAGGCAGCACTGATATATGGCACTGATAGGTGGCACTGATAGGCGGCACTGACTGGCACTGTTAGGTGGCACTGACTGGCATTTTTAGGTGGCACTGACTGGCACTGATAGGCGGCACTGATGGGCACTGATAGGCGGCATTGACTGGCACTGATAGTTGGCACTGAATGGCACTGATAGTCGGCACTGACTGGCACTGATTGGCAGCACTGATAGGTGGCATTGACTGGCACTGATGGGTGACACTGAAAGGCAGCTCAGATGGGTACTGATATGTGGCATTGATGTGCACTGATGGGCACTGGCACGTGGCACTGATGAGCACTAACAGCTGGCACTGATGGACACTGACAGGTGGCACTGCTGGGGCTACACTGATCATGAGGTCACACTTATTATCAGTGCTCTGATGATCACTGTACATGTCCCCTCCACGGAATGCCACTTACGGGCTCTCCTCTCCTCTCGAGCTGTCAGCATGACAGCTCGTGGGGAGAGAAATACCAATAACTGGCATTTCCCTGTTTACATGTGATCAGCTGTGATTGGACACAGCTGATAACATAACTGAGCCAGCATCTTCGGCTCTTTCTGTGGATCGGTGATTGCTGTGCTGCGCGCTCCGGGAACCGTGCATGCTCGGTTAGAATGGGAGGACGTCATGTGATGTCCTCCCAGAACGAGAGAACCTTTCATACGTCATATTACTATATGGCGGGCGGGAGGTGGTTAATCTCCTCTTCTCAAGAGAATAAATTCAGTTCCTCTAATATTTCCTCATAGCTGAGCTCCTGCATGCCTCTTATCAGTTTGGTTGCCCTTCTCTGTACTTTCTCCCATTCCCCAATGTGCTTGTTGTGAATTGGTGCCCAAAATTGAATATTCCAGAAGAGGTATTACTAATAATTTGTACAGGGGTAAAATGATATCTCTCTCTCTGGAGTCTATACCTCTTTTAATACAAGAGAGGATATTGCTCGCTCTAGAAACCGCAGCTTGGCATTGCATGCCATTATTAAGTGTATGATCTACCAGATCTCCCAGATCCTTCCCACCATTGGATTCCCCCAGTTGTACTCCCCCTAGTATGTATGATGCTTGCATATTCTTTTTTTTTTTTTATAAATATTTTATTAATTTCAATATATCACATTACACCATTAAAATTTCAAAATATTCAACATTACGCAATTCCCTTATACCTCTTCATTCTAAAGAAAAACCCACCCACTCCCACCCCCCCCTTCCCTCATTCTGCTCCCTATTTTTTTTTCCTCTTATCTCCTCGCTCCTCCTCTTTTCTCTTCCCTCTCAAGGCACCCTTCTCTTTCTTCCCTTCTTATCTCCTCTCTATTTTTCTTTAAATTGCTGTTTGAACTTATCCCATTTCTCCCACTTTTCTCTGAATCTCTCCATTCTATCTTCTTCCTGATGGTAGAGTTCCTCCATCTTATGTACATAGTCAACCCTACTTATCCATTCATTTTTTTTTGGTATTTTCTGCTCTTGCCAAAATTTAGGTATCAATCCCTTTGCCGCATTTATCAGATAAAATGCCAACAAGTTCTTATATTTTTCTACTGTAGTCTCAGTTTTATGGAATAAGCATGTGCCTGAATCTTTCGGGACCTCAACCCCTGTTATCTCCTGAATTAAATAAATTATTTCTTCCCAATACTCCTGAATTTTAGGGCACTCCCACCATATATGTGCCATTGTGCCTTTTGCCCCACATCCTCTCCAACATAAAGGTGATTTATCTATTTGCTGTTTATGTGCCACACTTGATGTAATATACCACTGTCAAGGTCCTACTTTTCCTCAGGGCTTGTGCTGCTCCATGTGCTGGCATCCATCTTAGGTGTCTGCAAAGTATTGTGGGATCCTTTATGCTTTCAGCCCCCTGCGGCTCCTCCCCAGGAGGTGGCGGCTTATCACATATAAGTCTGCTGTTTGTAGCTGTCCATTGCATTTGTGTCTTGTCTGTTGCACAGCAGCAAGCTCCTGTTTAGTTTCTCATTGCTCTCCTGGATACCGACTTGGCTTTGGCAAGACTCCTTCCTGGCTTCTGACCCCGGCTCTGGCTACCATCCTTCCTGGCTTCTGACACTGGTTCTGGCGACCATCCTTCCTGGCTTCTGACCCCGGATCTGGTGATCATCCTTCCTGGCTTCTGACCCCGGCTCTGGCGACCATCCTTCCTGGCTACTGTTCTACCAAGTCATCCGCTGTTGCTGTTAGACTTGCATAGACTCTGTCTTGTTGTTGTATAATAAACCTACCTTTAATTGCACCTCCTTGTGTGTCTGGCTCCTCGCTCCCTGACACTATACGAATGCCATGAATCCTGATGGTGCAGGTATGCCCTCGCTCCCTATGTTGGTTGCCAAACTTGATCAGCAGGATCTCTTGTTGGATCAGTTCGCTCAGGCGTTGCAGACGCTGCTTGCACACACAGCGCACCTTACTCCTGGTGCTATTAGGCCGGTTGTCACTCCTGTGGTCGCTCCTGCTGTTGCTCCGGTTGTTGTGCCTACCTCCGCATCTGCTGCCGCACCTGCGGTGCCCAGAGGTATGACTGGTTCAGCCCCCTTTCCACAGCGCTTTGGGGGTGAGCCGAGTCAGTGTCGGGTTTCCTTAACCAAGTGGGCATATATTTTGAATTGATACCCCACGCTTTTCCCTATGGAGAGGTCAAAGGTGGGCTTCCTAATCTCGCTGCTCATGGACAAGGCCTTGGCCTGGGCAAATTCCTTATGGGAGAATGATAACCCTGTGATTCACGAGTTTGCCGGTTTTGTTCCCTCCTTCCGTACGGTATTTGATATGCCTGCTCGCTCCGCCTCTGCTGCAAAGCTGCTCATGTCCATGCATCAGGGTTCACGAACCATTGCCGAGTACGCCATAGAATTTCGTACCCTTGCGGCAGAGGTGGGTTGAAACAATGAGGCTCTGGTGGCTGCTGTCTCTCATGGTCTCTCAGATGCGTTGAAGGATGAGATTGCAGCCAAAGAACTGCCTGTGGAGCTTGAAGCACTCATTTCCTTCCTAATCCTGATTGACACCAGGCTCAGGGAGAGGCCTTCACTTAAGGAGTGTCTGCGGAGGCCTCCTAACCGATTGGCACCTACGTTTTCTGTCCCACCCGTTCCTCTCTCTCCTCCCATGCCTCCTGTGGATGGCTTGTCTGGCGTGAGCCCATGCAGCTGGGGTTTGCTTACCTTTCCGAGGGGGAACGGGCCTCTCGGCGTCGGTAGGGTTGCTGCCTGTACTGTGGTCTCGGTGGGCATTTTCGGCAGTCCTGTCTGGTCCGTCTGGAAGACGCTCGCACCTGAGATCCTGTCGGGGGCAGATCTTTGGTGGAGTTTTCCTCATCCCCGGTTTCCCGCAAAGATAAACTGCTAATCACCGTTGTCCTCTCTTGGGCAGAAGGCTTGGTGACGGCCCAGGCGTTGGTAGACTCTGGTGCTGGCGGGTTGTTTATGGACAGTTCATTTGCTGTCCAGTACTCCATTCCTCTGCAGGCTCGAGATACTCCATTGGTCCTTGAGGCGATAGATGGCAGGCCCCTGCAACTGCCGCAGGTTACCCACGAGACCCTGCCAGTTGAAGTAGCTATTGGTGCTGTTCACAGGGACCTGGCCTGTTTCCAGGTAATTTCTTCCCCGCACTAACTCCGTGGTTTTGGGATATCCCTGGCTTCGGAAGCACAATCCGACCTTTGATTGGCGGTCGGCCGAGATTCTCTCGTGGTCTCCACAGTGTGGGGCCGGTTGCATCCGTGGACCTGTTAAGGTGTTGTGTGCCTCCTCGGACTCTGTGTTGCCTACTGACTATGGGGAGTACCTGGACGTGTTTGACAAGGTGCGCGTCGGTGCTCTGCCTCATCATTGTCCATACGATTGTGCCATAACCTTACAACCCGGTGCCACTCCTCCGCGTGGCAGGGTCTATCCTCTTTCGGTTGCGGAGAATCAGGCCATGCAGGAGTACGTTGCAGATGTGCTTTCCCGGGGGCACATTCATAAGTCTACTTCTCCAGCAGGAGCTGGCTTTTTCTTTGTGAAAAAGAAAGGTGGTGAATTTAGGCCTTGCATTGATTTTAGGGGTCTCAATCGAATCACGATTAAGAATGCTTACCCAATTCTGTTGATTACCGAGTTGTTCGACCGCCTCAAGGGAGCAACGGTCTTTACTAAACTCAACCTTAGGGCTGCGTACAACCTCGTACGGATCAAGGAGGGCGACGAGTGGAAGACTGCGTTCAATACCAGAACCGGCCACTATGAATCCCTGGTTATGCCCTTCGGGGATCTTTTAGGAGTTCATTAATGATGTCTTTCGTGACTTGTTGCAGCAGTGCGTGGTGGTTTACTTAGACGACATCCTGGTTTACTCTGCATCTATGGAGTCTCATATCCAGGAAGTTAAGCGGGTGCTGCAACGGTTACGTGAGAACAAGCTTTTCTGTTAGCTCGAGAAGTGTCAATTTCACCGATCCCAGGTTGCCTTTTTGGGCTACAACATCATTTCCACTGTGGGATTTTCCATGGACTCTCAGAAGGTTTCGGCGGTTCTGCAGTGGCCTCGTCCCAGTGGCCTTCGGTCCATTCAGCACTTTTTAGGATTCGCCAACTATTATCAGAAGTTTATCAGGAACTTCTCCACGCTGGCCAAGCCTCTCTCAGATCTGACCAAGAAGGGCAGTAATCCCCACGAGTGGTCATCCGAGGCCATCTTAGCTTTTGAAGCTCTGAAATCCGCCTTCGCTTCGGCTCCGATACTGTCTCATCCCAATCTTGGGTTTCCTTTTGTCCTTGAGGTTGATGCATCTGAGACGGGAGTAGGCGCCCTCCTGTCTCAGCGTCGGTTGCCCCATGGACCCCTACTTCCCTGTGGGTTCTACTCCAGGAAGCTTTCTTCCGCAGAATGCAACTACCAGATTGGAGACAGGGAGTTGTTGGCCATTATTCAGGCTCTCAAGGAATGGAGGCACCTGCTCGAGGGTTCTGCGTTCCGGTCCTCATTCTCACTGACCACAAGAACCTGACGTATCTCTCGGAAGCTAAGAGGTTGACGCCCTGTCAGGCCAGATGGGCTCTGTTCTTGTCACGTTTTAACTATGTGGTCTCCTATTTGCCTGGCTCCAAGAATGTCAGGGCTGATGCCTTGTCACAGCAATACTCTGAGCTGTCTAGGGAGGACTCTGAGCCGACCTCGGTCATACCTCCGGATAAGATCCTGGCTGCCATTCGTACCAGCCTGACTTCTCCCCTTGGGGAGCAGATTTTGGCGGCTTAAACTGATGCTCCCTCTGAGAGACCGGCTGGTAGATGTTTCATACCTGAGGGATTGAGCACCCACTTGCTGCGTACCTACCATAATTCCAAGACTGCTGGTCATCCAGGGAGGAACCAGTTGTCCTGGGTCATTTCTCGTTTATTCTGGTGGCCATCTCTCCGTTCCGACATCGCCTCATATGTAGCGGCATGTTCTGTCTGTGCCCAGAATAAATCTCCTCGGCATCTTCCATTGGGCCTTCTGCAACCCATTCCCAATGGGGAGCGTCCCTGGTCACACCTGGGCATGGATTTTATTGTAGACCTCCCTGCGTCTCGAGGCCATACGGTCATTCTTATGGTCATTGATCATTTCTCCAAGATGTGGCATTGTGTTCC